AACTTCCTATCAGGAGCATTCTTACATTTTGTTTTGAGTCTTGAGTCTATTTTCTTATATTTTGATCATTTTGTAATAGAGTAGTCGTAAATAAAATTTCTCCATCACATTGTTTATCAATCTGTGTATTTCTTTGTGTATTGATAATTGCACATGCTTATCAAGAAATAGTGCAATCTAAACTGCGGTTCATTGTCTTCCGGTGTAATTATCGTATTTCCACGAATGATAATTGATATCAAAATGCCAAGTTCGATAAAGCTTTTGTTGTAATGATCGTTAGTTTTGCTTCTGATCCCTCGTCGGTTGCACGTCGTTTTTGAAGAGAGATTATTTATTTTATCGAATACCTGTGTGACGCGATTTTTTTTCCGCGCGCGTATCTATTTTTTTTCTCTATGGACGCAAAGCGAGCCGCCTGTTCTCGTTAATTCATCGAGGTGGATCTACGTTACAAACTTACCAAGATGGATCGACGTAGCAAATATGCCAATTATCGTTACTCCAATTACATGCAAGAAGGTCTCGCGGTTCTGAAAGTCGGATCCAGCCTCGAGTCCTCGAGTCCTCCCCTAAACGACAAGATAATCGGACAAAAATAATAACAACATTCTTTATGCAAACAAATTTGTTCCTAAAAATTTAACAGCGAGCTCGAATAAATCCAACGATCCTACAGCGTCGGGATGTAAAAAGGCGCTGTATCAGGATAAAGCGATACGAACGACGAAAAATTTCATCGGGAAACCCTATTACAACGTAGGCCTTCTTCTTCGAGAAATTTTAAAAATGATCTTCCCCCTTTTTTTCTTTCTACTTAAAAATTTTCGTGTACGTGCTTTGTGACTTGATATGACAAACCGATCGTTCGCAGTTGGGGGAGAAAGGGTCCGGCCTGAGGCCACGAGGAGCGGTCCAAGATTTCAACACGCTGAGACGAGAATGCCTGGCGACTGGACGGCTCTTCGAAGATCCCGAATTTCCGGCCAACGACTCGTCGTTATACTTTTCTCGCAGACCAGACAGATACATAGAATGGAAGCGACCAATGGTTAGCAATTTTTTTTAAGTTTATTAGAAAAAAATTCTAAATTGAATACGTGAATGAGGAGGGTGATCTGCACAAATGCACTGTGATTTCGCAGGAAATCGCGGACAACCCTCAACTTTTCGTGGAAGGCTTCTCGAGATTCGACGTTCAACAGGGAGAGCTCGGAGATTGCTGGCTGCTGGCAGCCGTGGCGAATTTGACTATGCACCCAAATTTGTTCTTTCAAGTAATGCCAGAAGATCAGAGTTTCGACGAAAATTACGCTGGAATCTTTCATTTCAGGTTCGATTTTTAGACTAATATGTCTAATATTATAATCAATATTATAATCTTTTCGGTGCGACACAAAATTTTATAATTTATTATTATTTTTATCGATTACTATATAAATTGAGGATGATTATACGATTTATTATATTCAAATTTAGAATTTAAATGTTTCTTCAATCGCCAACCAGAATATCATGAATGTATCTTGTTTTGTTTAAATTTTGCAACAAAAATATATCTGTTGCATCACAATTAGCCTGGAAAGGGCCCGTTTATATAAAATATGTATGCGCATCAGGTTTTGGCAGTACGGCAGATGGATCGACGTAGTAATCGATGACCGATTGCCCACTTGCCGCGGTGAATTGGTGTATCTACATTCCGCCGAGAACAACGAATTTTGGAGCGCTCTTCTCGAGAAGGCGTATGCGAAACTTCATGGTTCCTACGAGGCGTTAAAAGGCGGCACAACCTGTGAGGCTATGGAGGACTTCACCGGTGGAGTAACGGAAATGTATCAAATGGACCAAACGCCACCAAACTTATTCAATATATTGTTAAAAGCTTTCGAGAGGAACTCGTTACTAGGTTGTTCCATTGAGGTGAATTAGTAATTGCAGTATCTATTCCTATAGCAAAAATTTCAATTGATTATTACTTTGATTCTTTGGTTATTTTTCATAGCCTGATCCTAACATAGTGGAGGCTGAAACACCTCAAGGATTGATACGCGGTCACGCATACAGCATCACGCTCGTAAAACACGTGGAAATCGAAACACCGAATCAACGTGGTACTATACCTCTATTGAGGCTTCGGAATCCTTGGGGAAACGAAGCGGAATGGAATGGGCCTTGGAGCGATCAGTGAGTACATTCCGTTTTCACATTCGATCAATGAGTTACTCTGTGCTTGACCATTATTCTTTCAAATTCACGCTTCTATCTTCTATTAATAGATCACCAGAATGGAGATTCATTCCTGATCATGAGAAAGAGGAGCTCGGCCTGACCTTCGATATGGACGGCGAGTTTTGGATGTCGTTCCATGATTTCACACGTCACTTTACTCAACTCGAGATATGTAACTTGAATCCAGATTCCTTAACGACGGACGATATCAGTGCCGGGAAGAAACGCTGGGAAATGAGTGTGTTCGAAGGGGAATGGGTGCGCGGAGTAACCGCGGGCGGTTGCAGAAACTTCTTAGGTGAGATATATATACCAGATACGTATATATCAAACTGGTTAAATTTCATGCAAGTATTTCAGTTAAAAAATTATATTTTTACAGAGACCTTCTGGCACAACCCGCAATATCGTATCACATTGGAGTATCCGGATGACGACGATGACAAATGTACGGTAATCATCGCTTTGATGCAGAAGAACAGGAGGGCGCAAAGAAGAATGGGTGCTGATTGCCTCACTATCGGATTCGCGATATATCATGTATGCAAAAATTAATTTATCTTCGTACGATCATCAGTGAGAGAATACAACCAAATCACTATACGATTTATCTGAATATTAATTTACTTTCGAAAAATTTATATTGGAAAATTTTATTATTGTTCATATATTATATTTAGTAGCTAATAAAATATTTCATATAAGGTAAACTTCATATAAAATTTTAAGAAATTAATGCTAGATAAAAAATACAAAATTTTCTGTTGATAAATTAAAAAATTTTTCGACAGTTGGACTATCCAGAGAGATTGCCAAAACCATTAGACATGAACTTCTTCAAGTACAACGCGTCTGTTGGACGTTCACCGGCATTTATAAATTTACGAGAGGTTACATGCCGTTTCAAATTACCTCCGGGTATTTACTGCATAGTTCCAAGTACTTTTGACCCGAATGAGGAAGGTGAATTTTTACTGAGAATCTTCTCTGAGAATAAAAATAATATGGAGTAAGCATCCAGTTTCGTTATTGCTATTGACCTGTACTAGTTAAAGACTTATACTAGTTAAAGAGAGAATCTTTATCTGTTTACTTTTGTTCACAGAGAAAATGACGAGGAAGTCGGTATTGGAGAAGTCGATGATAGGGTAAGGATTGTAAATTTTTGAATGAACAAAATCAATATATTTACAATATTTATATTAATAGATTAATCCTAAACAAATTATTTTGTTTATTGCAATGACAAAATCGCTATAAAGTTTTTATAATTAAAGAGGAATCCCTGTTTAGGATTAATCATTATTATATTAACGCGAGCATAATCTTATTTCACATAATTTAAAGATAGCAACTAATAACTCACAGCACACTGACACAGCTTGATGAATATATATAATATTAAGAGTATGTTATCACAGATTAGTAATATATGCATTAAATTAATTCATGCTAAATTGCACAAAAATTGGAATTAACCAACACTATGCATTTAAGTTTTGTGTTCAGCTAATGCCTGTGGGATTTGATATTTGTGCCGTCTGATAAGTAATCGTGTCAGGATTTAAAATGTCATTGCTCGCGATGGTAATTACACGTTACTAATGGTCCGCATGTTACATCGCTTGGCTTTTAGATAATTAATCCTACCGGTGATAAAAATGACCAGAATGGAGATAATGTAAGTAAAACGCACGCTTGTATGTTGAGATAATAGAAAGCTATGATATATGCTTTGTGTATGTGGACAAGAAATAAAAAAAAATATTTTATGTTTAATTGAATACTAATATAAACGCTTTCATATCTAAATATTTTCTAAATCATATTTAAACAATCTAATTTAAAAACTTGTTATGAGATAAAATCATTCGTTTTAAACATAAGATGCAATTTATAAATTTGTCACAAATTACAGATTACCTTTATGTTTTGTCACTAAAGATTTTTTTTTATTTAGGTTCGTGAAGAACCTGAACAGGATCGCAATAACGAGAAAGTCCGAGAATTCTTTAAAAAACTTGCTGGCGACGACATGGAAGTGGACTGGACGGAACTCAAAGATATCTTAGATTTCGCCATGAGGAAAGGTAAATATCATCTACGTATCATGTAATGAAATATATTATCTACTATTAAAAATAATATGAGAAAAAGTATTCAGAACTGTGAATACGATATTGTTCTCCTACAAAAACATGATCGTACTCTATTCTAATTGTAAGAGCTTTGCTTCATAGCTTTTTGTTGTAACTTTTTCGCTTAATTTGCTCAATGTCCCTTACAATCATCAATAGAATCATACATTTAATCATGCTGCATTATGAATCTTGTACTTTACATATCTTTTGATAAATATCACCTACACCGTTTACCTCTTTAGCTCTAATTAATTTACTGATGATCTTCTTCAATCTCTTGTTAAAAATTACTTTATTTTCTCGGCACGCTGTACAACATCTTAGTGATGATGTTAATAATTCCGCATGCTTATCTCTTACATTGTAATTTGTACTTACAGTACATAAATACATTTGGGTCTCGGAAATACTTAATACGAACTCGCTGAACTTACTAATTGATATCACGAAAAACATTGTTTCTTCGTTTGTTAAAGAACTGTTTAAGAAATTGAAAACAGTTGTAATAGGCTTTTTAAGAAGCAAGCATAGCGGAGTACATATAAGCATTATAAATTAAAGAATTAAAGTTCAATCAGATTTAGAAAACATAAAGTAACTGTAACATTACATCAAACATTATAATTTCGTAACTGTTATATATCATCATATCATATTTATATTATTGAATGAGAAATTATAATATTGATATTGAAATTATAATGTTGCTCTCAGTTCATATTTATTGGAAGATTTGTTGCAGGCGTTACATAAAAAGAAATATAAAATCTAAGTTGTAATCTAAGCTGTAATAAACATTACGAATTCTTATGGCCCAAATGTATGTATGTAAAACTCTAACGTGTAGCTGTGTGTTACGGGTAGAGCTACCGCAGTTGGCGCATCATAGCGAGGCACATGCTCCCGAAACTGTTGAAGGAAACAGTTCGTTTGTCGACACTCTCATCTCACTGCTGTGCGGCATTGTTTGTAATAATGAACAGTACAATAAGCCCGTAGGTAAGACAAACACATCTCCTATCACAGGATTGTTTTACCAGTTGCGTTACATTGTAAAAGAAAAACGATTACGTCGTAGAACACTTGTTCGATTGTTTATCCCTTATTGTTAATACAAAACGCTTTCGTCAGTGCTCGTATGGTGGAACCGATAGTGTCAATGTCGATGTTTTAGCAGATTGACATTGTAATTTATATCTTCGCAAGGTAGAGCAGAACCCCATCAAGAAATATCTATCGCATGTCTTCTTGATTAACAAAGTGATGAAACATAATAAACATTAACGAATCGCTTAAATTCGTCGACACACACGTCTTATGTCTACGTCGTATGTAGCTGTACCATAATTGCTGTACTTCTCATCCCTATTTTATATAACTACGGTCACTTCTGTATTTTTTGTATACTCAAAACACTGTAACAGAATATCCTTCCATTTTTACTTTGATTTTTTGTAAATTTGTCCGTATATATCTGAATGTTGAAAGTCTTCGCTTACGTGAGGATTGCAATGAGCGAAATGAATTTTCTTCGTCAAATTACAGAGACTCATGATCAAGGATTCAGCAAAGATATATGTCGCAGTATGGTCGCTATGCTGGACGCGGATCATTCTGGCAAACTCGGTTTTGAAGAATTCAAAATGTTGTGGAACGATATTAGGAAGTGGAGGGTAAGCAAAATTTTTCGGTTCAATATTTGTAAAATAGTGTTGTGCGTAGACCTGCAACTTTTGTTATGATTATTTCAGGCTGTCTTCAAACTGTACGATAGAGATGAGTCAGGCTTTCTAAATGCATTTGAATTAAGACAAGCGTTAAACAGCGCGGGATACCGTTTGAACAATCATATTCTTAATATATTGGTTCATCGTTATGGTACCAAAGATGGCAGAATTACTTTCGATGACTACATAATGTGTGCAGTTAAGCTTAAAACAATGATTGGTAAGTGAGATCTTTATTAATTGTTATTAATTATATATAAGAAAAGAATAGTGTTGCTAAAGTATCTAAAATTTTAAATGTAGATCTGAAAATACTTTTCAAAATCATTAGGTAGGATACCTAATGATCTAAATGATAATAATACTGCTAACATTTTTAATATTCTAGTAATCATTTTGAATATAATTATTTTATTAATAAAATTATTTTCAGATCTGTGTCTAATCACATTTTTTAATATTTCAACAAAATTGTTTATTTAATTATTAATGTTAACAACCAAGGTAGAATTAGTTATAATTCCTTCTCTTGTTGTCATTGTAGATATTTTTAGAGAACGAGATCCAGATCAAACTCACACCGCTACATTCACAATGGAAGAGTGGATAGAAAAAACACTTTATTCCTAATGAAATATGAATTAATATTTGTAATAATTTTTTACTTCGAATTTGAGAATCTTTCTAGTACTAGTGTGATGATAAACGGTCGTAATTATGAACAAGAAGTATATTTTTATGGAAAAAGAAAGTTAACTTTTAAGATATTATATGAGTTAACGTGCATTAATATATACGCGAGGCCTGTTAACTTTTATTTCTTTGACGTTATTGCACACGAAAAATATGATATCTCTACAATATAAATTTAAGTGGAAAGAAGAATTATCTTTATATACAAATATATATAAATATTCAATCTGTAATAATTATATATGTAAAATGATATTATGTGCCTTAACATACTTTAAGCGACCGCAGCATTAATTACTAAAATTTACTGTAAAAATATATATAATTTATTGGAATATATAATGTACGTGTGTGTTATCAGTTAGTCCATGGAGAGCGAGACGCGGGGGAAGATTTACAAGTTTTTAATTCGATTATAGAAAACAATAATTCAATCATATTAATTTCCATTTTTTTATATTTTATAAAATTTACTAACATAAAAACGAAAAAAAGAAATGAAGAATGCACGTGAATGTATACGGTTGAACGTTGGAGAATACAATACAATCGCGTAATTATATTTTTTATTGATATTTAATTATATCCTATACATTGAATAAATCAAGTTCGTACTTAAATGCTACGTTTTTTATACGGATTGTATACACACCCGACATAAATAAAACATGCGAATTAATAAATGAATGATCACGAAAATTTACTCAGTGTTACACTATTGTAAAATCCTTTTTATAAGAAATGTTTTATGAACATTTGAAATTACTTTCGAATGGTCCAAAATAAAAGTTAAGTTAATTCTAATTAATTAAATTGAAATAATATTAATAATGTTAATGATTTCAGTCATTAATGAAAATATTTAAAATTAAAAGTTGAGAAACTACAATGCAAGTTGAGCGTGAGTAAACACGAGAACTTAAAAAAAAATTATTATAAAATCATAATGTAATTCGCAACATGATGAAATAATAATAAAGAGCATTACAGTTACACATTCGAGGAATTCACGAAATTTTTTTCAAAAAGGCCAAGGCGCTGCGACTGTTGATGAGAGCATTTGCGTCGTGACGCTTGCGCGTTGCGATCATAAATAATACGCTCCGTGTCGGAGTTCGGCGCAACACTGACTTTTTTGTCTCTACCTAATTTTGCCCGCTTCTGTCCACGGTGTCGATGATGTTGCAATAATTGTTTCCGACCGTTCCACACGGCGAAAATGCGAAAGTGTTCGAGGTAAAAAAAATTCATACCCTCGTACCGATGTCTCGCACTTGGTCGTGGAGCACGATGGACGCGTGATAAACGCGATGTTGAATTAAAGTGAAGCTTCAGCTGCCCACGACGGCTCGTCGCGTTTGCTTATGCGGTGTTCCTGAGGTTCCTGGCGAGGTTTGAGGCGAGTCTTCATCGCGACTTACGTGCTGCACCTCGGGACAATTTCCACTCCACGAGGTCGAAGGTCAACTGTCGATATGGTGTCCTCGTGGTGTTACTTCATACTACCGGTGGTCCTGCTTATCGGTTTGCTCCGCAAATGCCGAGAGCGCACCTGGGGAAGATGCAAGAGCACCAGCAGTCTGGAGGGCCGGGTGTTCCTCGTGACAGGCGCCAACTCCGGCATCGGCAAGGAGACGACGAGAGAACTGGCCAAACGGAGAGCCACGGTTATCATGGCCTGCCGGGATATACAGAGCGCGAAGAACGTTATAGCGGAAATACGAAGCAAGATACCTGCTGGTGAATTGGTAATTATACTCCTTTATAAGTCCTTTCACTTTTGGACTGATTTAATATATAAAGTAACATATATCTTTTTTTTATGCAGATTCCTATGGAATTAGATCTCGCGTCTTTCTCATCAATCAGAGACTTTGCCAATGAAGTGCTAAAAAAGTTTCCCCAAATTCATGTATTGATCAATAACGCTGGGGTATATGCGCCTCTCAAAGATCAGGCAGTAACAAAAGAGGGCTTTGAGATTCATTTCGGAGTGAATCATTTGGGTCATTTTCTGCTTACCAATCTTCTTCTGGATCGTCTGAAGGAAAGCGCTCCTAGCAGGTGAGTCCGAAATAACATCTTGGTATGACAAAGTGATATTGACATACGATTTCTTTTATATAGAATAGTAGTAGTGACGTCCAAACTTCTGGAATCTGGAGTAATAGACTTAAAAAATTTGAATGGATTCGAGAAAGGATTGCCGATAAAGAGCAGAATGAACCCTGGTTACTGTAATTCAAAACTTGCAAACGCATACTTTGCTGTCGAGCTTGCGAAACGATTGGAAAACACTGGTGTTAACGTTTATATGGTATGTCCTGGATTTACTTATACCGGCCTGTTCAGGAATGTGAAAAGAAGCTGGTTTCACTATATTATTTTCTCGCCTGTTGCTCTTATGTTTCTACGCACTGCGAATCAGGTAAATATATTAAATAATTTATCTTAAAGAAAAATCTTTCATTATTATGAGAGATGATTTGTATAATAAATCGATATTCACAGGGTGCACAAACGGTGTTGCATGGTGCAACGGAACCATCTTTATCCGAGGAAAGTGGACGTTTGTATCGTGATTGTAAGCCTTATGTCTCTAAAAAGGAACTAGATCCACAAGTGGCAGGTGACTTATGGGAAGTAAGCTTGAGATTGACTGGTCTAAAAGATACAATAAAAAGATTTGTATGAAATAAAATGAGGATTTAGGATACATGCGCAGTTGTACATGTAAGAGACTGAGAACAAAAATGCCATCTCATTCTGATATGGCAAGATTGAAGATTGCACGAGATTCCTTTCTTTTTATTTGACTGACCGGCTAATTGCCAAAGAAGAAAACGCAGCCACTGTTAAAGGGAAAATGACTCGTGGTGTAAATGCAACTTCACTTATTACATACAAATTGGAAAGCCCTTTGCTCTCCACTGTAATATCGCAATTTCAATTTTGTCATATTCCACAAGTGATTATTCGATATTTTTATATATACAGCGAATATATGTATATAGGATATAGACAATGTCAATGTGGCACAATCTTATTTCCATTTTTTTATGTATTTAAAGTCGATGAATGAATTTTCCATATGTAGACACATATAGCTTGATGTACATGTATATTTATCTTTATAGCTAGCGTCATCCATTAGCTACTTTCAATATAAATTCTATGAATTACAAATCCTGTACAAATGCGGCCTTCTGCTCATCTCGCGTCAAGCAGTATCCGATGTAAATCATCAATTCTCAGAAAGTGAACATAGAGAAAATGTATGTGTTTAGAATAAAAGTCCATAGGCAGCCTTTAGAAGTCTTTAAAATCATCTTTATCAAAAAATCATAAAACAATTATCACAAATATCGAGGCAAATTTATTCGATCTTTTACAAATTACGTTTCTTTTTTTTTTTTTCTTGAATGCCGGCCTTATGAGGAATTCACATCGCGCGCGAAGGCGTCCTACGACTCGATCGAGTGCCCAATGGGCAGACGCGCGATTCTCTAGGGAATCCGACTGGGGGCCCTGAGAAGCGTGCGTTCCTATTTCGGAGCTCGGAGTGACGTCGTCGCAGTGCGTTCGCGCGCGGTGCGAACCGTCCATGAGCCAATCACTCGCCGTTGCACTCTGTCTCATTTTCGAAAACAAAAAAAAAGAGGGAGCCGAGTCGGTTCGCCGCTGTTATATCGCGATTGTCGCGCGGTATATACGCGCTACTCCTACGCGAAGAGACAGGTACCAGCTGATCGGCGCGTTCCGTGTGATTACGCGGCGGCGGTGCGATGTGATTCCTCGGGCTCGGGCTGCTGAGGAGCGCGCGAGTATCCGCGGGGTGCTGACGAGCGCGCAGGGCTTCCCGACTCGACCGGGTCCGTCCGGGACCGAGAGTGGCGGGCATCTGTCGCGGACATCTCTCGGCGGGCGCACGGGTTTTTCCCGCTCGTGTCGTTCGACTTCGACGTCGGCCAACGGGACCTCCGTTTTACGAGCGTACTCCTATTGGACGTGCGCGACCGAACATCAGGATTTTAAATCCGAATCGCACGCACCACGGTTTCCGATTGTCGAGCGCGCTTCTTTCCTTCCTGTCTGCCCTCTTTCCTGCCTGCTCTCGCACACGCACACGCACACGCACACGCACACGCACACGCGTGCGTATCTCGTAAGAAGAGCCGCCGGCTGATCGTCACGCATGATACGTCGAATGGCGACACACACGTACCTACGCGTCGGGCTTCCGTTCGCGATCTTGCTCGGACTAACCTCGTGGAATGCGCCTGGAATGCGTCTAGCGGTGACAGACTGACTGCGAATCTCTCTCCTTCTCTATCTCTCGTTTCTCCGCGAGTGCACGCCGTGCGAATGCGCGACATGAGTTCCTCCTTATAAATAATAGGCCGCTACGAGAAAGTTAGAAAAGTTAGAAAAGAAAAGAAAAGAAAAAAAAAGATCGTTAAAAAAAGTAC